GAAAGGGTTGGGGCCGATGGATTTGGGGGGTCCTGCTTGACTTGGCTGGTCTAAAGTGTGATTTTTGTACCCTGCAGATTATTATTTTTCAAGAAATATTGAAAACAAAAACGAAAGTGATGTCAAAACGCCCCTCAATTAACCCCTCAATTAACAAGAAGCATGTATGTTGCTATCTGGCTATTATCATCAAAGAGGCGAGGTAGCAGTAGCCACACTTTTCAGTTCCAAGTGCTGTCGCTTTTTCATTTCAACCAACAACGTAAAGATTATTCCTTTGCACAGTTGTACTAGGTTGCCGCCTGAATCTTACGAGAGCTAGAATGTTGCGTGGAGTTGCAAAAAGAAATTGAGTGCGTATAAGCAAACTCTGCTGTACGTCCTGCTAATGTTTGTTAACTCAAAAGGACAAAGTTGATTGCTAACAGCCGTAATTTGACGTAGTTCTTTCCAAAACAAGGAAGAAAGAATTGCATGTTGAAACCTCTGCTTGAATCGCCATATCTCCATTTTTTAATCAAGAAATATATAGGATAAGAATGTCATGGAAAACATCCTGTATCATGCCAAGATTATTAAATTATACACCAAGAAACTATCACATGCATGTAACAGAGAACTTCAGCTGTGAAACCTCAAGAGTAGTTATTGCATTACCAACAATCAAAAGTAAAATTTTCTATTAGAAACTGACATGGTTATCCATCTGGGCAACTTTATCTTATCATGATGATAATCAGGAGAGGAGCAAGAACAAAAAATTAGGGGGGCCAAATTAAAAAAAATATTTTAAAAAATTAAAATTTCAGTTATTTTTATTAAAATTATAAATATTTATTAGGAAGAGATTGGGAAAAATATTTTTTTATAGGAGTCAGGGCCCTGCCGACCTCCTGTTTACTAAAATTATAAATATTTATAAGGAAGAGACTGGGAAAAATATATTCTTATAGGGGTCAGGGCCCTGCCGACCTCCTGCATCCTCCACAGATGATAATGTTTTCAGTTCTGGAAATTGAGAAGAGGCCCATGGCCTGAATCCTGCATTTTGCCATCTATTCTATCTTCTGCCTGTATTAGAAAAAGATTCTTCAACATGGGTGGACAGTTGAAGGGTTGAGGCCCACAATTGGCATGTTGCTCAATGAGAAACGAGTCACAAAGACAAGGTGTTACCACGAGGTCTCAACGGCATTTGGTTATTGTTTTTTAGGCTTCGGTGCCTATTCCATGGTTGCACTCGTGGGCCGTGACGCGACTTGGCCTTCATTTATATCCAAAAATGTCATCAAGTGTAAAGGTATAAATAAGGTGAGAGATTCTAATCAGATCACATCCACTGTGTCAGTTTGTTCCAAGTTATAAACATCTTTTCTACTATCTTTGCCGTACCATCATTAATAGAGTTTTTGTTCTCTTCTTTAATTCTCCGATGTACTTCATCTTGGCTCTTGAATCTTGAACACCTACCAAAACACTCAATCTTGAATCATGATTGTCCACCGAAAAGATAGGAGGGACTGTATTCATGGCGGCTGCGACTAGTACTGCTACAAAATTTGAAAACAACACCGATGATCAAGAGAAGAGTGAAGAAAGCATTACCAACTATCTGATAGTGAGGCCAGAAAAGGGAGGAATGTTGGACTTGTTGAGGTACTTGGCATGGGCCGACATAGGAAGTGGTGTGAGATTCTTAGAGAGCTCAGAAGAGGGAAATATGGGTGAGGAGGCAGCTGATCATAGGTGGATTATCTTGGCGTCTCTTATTGCTAGGAAGATCATCTCCTTATTTGGCAAGCCCTTGGAGTACACTGGTTTTGTGGTTGATTTCTTCCTCAATCTCTTGTTTCAGAATGGTGGCATCATGGGCTTATTTCTCAACTTTCTCCAAGGTATATCGCCTATCCTGCTTATACTCTTCGATTAATTCCCTTTCTTTCTGTTTCTATTTTGTATAAGATACATGCTTGTATATGTCTGTACTGATTACAGTAGCTAGAATTGGTGCTTGATTTCCTTTACATGTATAATATGGTTTCAGAAAGACTTACAATGTTCTGGCTTGGTTATGAAAGAGAAACAACCTAGGTTCATGTCTGGCAGTTTATACTGGAAAGTTTTGGGTTTGTTGGTGGATGTATCGAAAAACCATCTTTTGAGGAACTGGCTTAAATTGTCTTACTGATAACATTTTTGTAGACTTTTGTTATGGTTACAGTACTACTGGTCTCCTAAAAAGGTTATTCTGATTATCATGGGAATGCAGGAAAGGTGGTGATACCGCAGAGGGACACCGAGACTTTTATATGTACCATCGGGCATTTGGATGGGCGAACAGACCTATACAGAGCTGAAAACTTGCTGGAACAAATATATCATTCGGTTTCCGCAGAGAAAACAATCACAGAAGAAATAGGGAACCGCGCTCATATGGACCTCTGTATCATGGCATCCAAATTAGCTTATGAGAATGCTAAAGTTGTTCAAAGTATTGTTGTTCATTACTGGAAGGCAAGCGACCCTAACTTCTGCGTCTCCCTCAATTTTTCTGCTTGATTCTCTTGAATTCAATTAATTTCATTGAATGATGTAATTTTGATTGACTGGTAACATATGTATTGCTGATAGCAACTAATATAATAATATGAACTTCTGACAAAACAACAGATGCATTTTGTGGACTTCTACAACTGCTGGAATGGTAAGCATGCAACAAATTTTGGATAGAGTTGTATTAAGTGGAAGATTTCGAACTTTCCAACCTTTCTCATTGTCTATAAAATAGTATTCCTGTACTTGGTTATCAGAAAATAATTACTTTGCTCTTCTGATCAAGTGTTTGGTGCTTTTCCCTCTTTTTCTTGGTTAATGATGCCTTGATAGATTTTCAAAAGGAATTTTCCACTCAAGTGTTCATTCTCTGTGACAAGCCCAAGGATGCAAACTTAATATTGATTAGCTTTCGGGGCACAGAACCTTTTGACTCTTATGATTGGGACACTGATTTTGATTACTCTTGGTATGAGATTCCAAAACTGGGAAAAGTCCACATGGGATTCTTAGAAGCATTAGGTTTGGGCAACAGAGATGATATTACCACCTTCCACTATCACCTTCAGATGAAGAACACAAATTTCAATCACGATTATGAAGGTTCTGGATCACCATTATCAAATACTGATTCTGACATGGAACAAAATGAACTGGACCTTTCTTCTGATTCTGACAGAGCTACTGCAGTAGGTCATAAGAAGTTCCCGCCAGAAATGGTGAAGAAGACTGCATACTATAAAGTGAGAAAGAAGCTCAAGAGCTTACTCGTGGAGCACAAGAATGCGAAATTTATAGTCACTGGGCATAGCTTAGGTGGTGCACTTGCTATTTTGTTCCCATCTGTGTTGGTGCTGCACCAACAGATGGATGTAATGAAAAGGTTGCTTGGGGTTTACACATTTGGGCAGCCAAGGATTGGGAACTTGCAGCTAGCAAAGTTCATGGAAGCCCATTTGGAGTATCCTGTTCCTAAATACTTCAGGGTGGTTTACAGCAATGATCTTGTCCCTAGATTGCCTTACGATGACAAAACCTTCTTGTATAAACATTTCGGAGTGTGCCTTTATTATAACAGCCTCTATATTCAACAAGTACGTACATTCTGCCTCCAATTGATCTTTTTCTTACTATCTGCATAAAATGCTGCACTTTTTATTCATTGAAATGTTCCCTTTTAAAGAAAATGAAACATCTCAACCCTTTGCCAATTCTGAGGCATCTGTCTCTGCTCCTTCTCACAATTCTAACGGCAGAAAGGAAGAAGTCATCTGATTGAATCGGAGTCTTTGTCTATATAGCACTTTTTATTTGTTATGCTGTAGAAATACTGGTACATCTAATCCATTACGAAATTTTTAACGAAAAATAAACCACTTCCACTACACATGTGATCATTGTTATCTTTAAACAGCTTCTATTTTTTTTTTTTCATCATAAGTGGTTTATTTGCCTGATGATTTTGTTTCTTCCTTTTGATTTGCTTATTTGAAGAAAGTGGATGAGGAACCAGACCCCAACCTCTATGGGTTGAGAAATGTTATTTTGGCACATCTGAATGCTATATGGGAGTTAATAAGAAGTTTTATAATCAGCTACACCCATGGGCGAGAGTACAAAGAAAGTTGGTTCATGGTGTTGGCCAGGTTAGTGGGACTGGCTCTCCCCGGGATTTCTGCACATTGCCCCACAGATTATGTTAACTCGGTAAGACTGGGAAAAGAGTGAGTTGTTCAAATGTCTTCTTTCTGATAGGCTTCTGTTGCAAATAATGTTGGTGATGGTGCCAAGATGAAATGCTTGCTTTATCATGGATTGAGTGTCCAGTTGTCTACATTATTTCTTACGCTTTTGGGTTCTGGTTTCCATTTTGATGTCAAAGCACCTTTCTTTCATGCCCTTTGGATTATGTAGTACCTACCGGTGTCTGGCTGTCCAAAATATTTGAGTTTCTATTGCAGAAAAAAATTGCGTTGTTCCGTTTATATTCCTGGGCTTGTAATGCCTGTCAGGCAGACGATCTAATTGTGAAATTTTTGACAAACATGAAATCTGCTATGTAGTAGCTTGCCAATTTGCTAGGCATCTTTTTTCTGTGGGTGTATTAGGTTGTATAGGTTTTGTGCCTGTGATTGGTTTCGTGTCATTCCTTTGAATAAAATTTTGTGTTTCTATCAGAACTCGTTGGAATGTCTGTAGCCTAACTCCAGTGAAACCCTCATTTTCTCATAGCATGTAAGTCTTTGAAGCTTAATGAAGTCGCTGTGATAATGCAGCTAGTGCCATCAAGCTTATTGGCTCGTAATATGCAAGTACCTGCAACTGGAGTGTTTTTTACTATATTGCAAAGAATCCACCTTCATACCATCTATTCAATATTCATAATTCCCGAATCAAATAATGTGACAATTCCACTGTGTCGAGTAGTTTTTATTACTGTAAACTGCCTAAATATGACAGTAAAAACTCTGCAAACAAATACAAGAATTCCCAAACCTCAACACAAATAGCATGTTAAAAGAATCGCAATACATACTAGGAAATGGCATCAGTTACTCTCTGAAGATACCTTCTTAAGATGTGCTCTGGACAAAAACATCTGGAGATTATATCTTGCAGGAGTTACAGGTGCGTTCTGGACGACTCCTATAACAAATGTCAATTCCTCTAGCATATCATGCTCCACAGTAGTTATGTGAGCAACTTCTGTCAAGTTTTCTTCACAGGAAAATTGGAAGATACATTGTTTATATCATGTCTTCAAACCGTATGAGCTGTTTGAATTAAATTTAAGTCCAGATTTTTGAGCCTGACTACCGATTCTACATGTCCTCTCAAGGTGTGAATCTCCCCCAGTCTGCAAAGTTGAAAAGTTATTCAGCAAGTTCATTCAACTTGAGAGTATATTAGCTTTTGGGAATGAAATTTGGACATGAATATCACCGAAGGCATAAATTGGTTGCTGCAAGCTAAGATATATAAACTTAGCATGTAACTGGGAGACAAATATTGCTTGAAACTGACCAAAGCTCAAGGGATAATCATGAAATAGGTCTCAACAAGAAGTGACTAAAGTCTAAAAGAGTACCTAGCTATTTCTGCACGCCGTCTGGCCTGTTCGGCAATCAAAGTTGATCTCCTGCCATTGAAATCTTGGTCTGTTGCCATCAACCCTTGTAGACTCCTCTGGGAAAGTATCCACTTAGCTTCTCTATCTTCCTTTCCATAATCTTTCTTTGTAGTAAAAGCGGTCTGTTGAAAAGAAAAAAAGAAAAAAAAGAACGTAAAGAAAAAAAGCGTATAGAGACATTTCACGCCAAGGCACCTTCCTTAAGCGATGAATGACAAAACCCAACTTCACTAACCTTTCTATCAAATAAGAGATTCCATGCTTCTCCACTCAAGGCATAACGAATTGTGAACTTGATAATATCCAGTGGTACGTAGAAGACCAAACTATACAACCATATGACACCAGCCCATCCCCATCCAATGCCTCTAATATAAGCAAAGCTAATATGTGCATATACAGCAATTAAAGTGGCCACCTAAACATCAAGAAACGACAGTCAGAAATGTACTTTAACTCCAACAGGTCTCATTTTGTTCCAAAGTGAAGTTTGTGAAAGAACACATGAGAATTTGGCCCAAATGGCCAGTATCAAAAAAAAAAATAAAAAAATTAAGGCTCTTGTTAGGCATTTTCAAACAGGATTTCCTGAATGTTGAATATGCGAGAATGATTGAATGATAGAGCCCATTTAGGAGCTTTCCTTGGGTACAGCTTACCAGTTGAGCCACCACAAATGCACACATCAAGAGAATTCCAGGCCTCTCAAGGAACGACCAACTTTGACTACGCGTAACAAATATTAAAGCCTGGCTGATGATGCTGACTTGTAGATACACAGCAGAAGAGACTTCCTCAGTGTTGCTGGAGATAGACCTCACATGGAAGTGTGTCTGCACACAGACATGATTAATAGCCACCAATATCAATATGGGGAAAATACAACCAATATTCGCCACAAAATCTCACTATATTAAAACCAGCATAAAGGAACTACCAAATGTCTGATACCTCGAAGAAATTTGTATCGATCACAGTCCAGTAAAACAGGACAGTGACCAAAGCAAGATATGTGCCGATGACAATGCCTGTCGCAAATATCTCTTCCAGCTTCCAACTGTCAGGCCTTGGAGATGGCTTAACTCGATCTTGCGAGATAGTCATTATGGTCCCTAAAACAAAATAGCACAATAACCTTCTTAAATATCATGCAAAGCTGTTTATAATACTATCCTTCTGTTACAAGAATCCTTCTTCCATAATTTCTGTATAATACGTATGCATGCTTCGGATACTGTTACGTTATAGTTAATCAGATAATGCAGTGTCCTCATCAATCCATTTGGTAAACAAGTTCTGCGTTTGAAATAAACTTTCTATGCCAGAGAGAGGCACTGTGGATGGCAACTACAGAAGACGCTGCTTCCGAATCCATTTATTTCCCGCTGTCATTTGCATAGAGCTAGCACTGCAAACTGGGTTTGGAAATATTCTTTCCCTACTCTATTGTATTTTTATTTTAGTCTGTTTTGTGTCTGAACACCAATCAATACCATTTAGTTCACTCTGTTATCAGATTCTTAGAAAAAATGTAAGGGATCAGGAAGTCACCCAGAGGGGAAAAAAGAAATAGGAAAAGCTTTCATGTTTTGATATACATTACCATCATTGAGTATTGCTATTATCAGAACCATGAAAGGTGGGAAGTCATATTCCCATATCAAAGCTAGAAGCACAAAACCAAGCTGCAAAGCAATTGAATTTAAAAAATTAACTGAAAACTGAAGCAAAATGCAAGAGCTTTCAAGGCAGATGTTCAGGAAATTGAACAGCGGCTAAACAAGTACAAAAAAATCCAGCTTACCACAATCCTAATGGTTATGGAGACGGCATATATCTGCAAATGCATGCAGGATAATCAGTTTTCTCATTAAATTAATTCAGAAGCAAGACATGAAAGAAACACAACTGGTAACGTTAAAAAACACGATAAGCTATTGCATCTGCAATCCTGCAGACTCTATGATGTACTTTGCATGCTTATTTATATTGGCCAACAAAAATTACTTCCACTCAGATTTATCTCCTGCCTTAAAATTATCTAGTGATCTTGTATAATTAAAACAGTGACTGGTTCATTCAATTCGATTCGTAAGTGTACCCTGCATCTGTGGCTAGCATTTAACTTATCTACATTAAATAAGACTATAGATCAAAGTATAACAAAGTAGGACAGTAAAAATGACATATTTAGAAGAAAGGATTGATACTAAACTGTATAGTTCTTCATTCTTTGGAATATAGCTCTGCTAGTTAAGACAGCACTGATAATCACACTTAGACCAGGCTCTGTCAAGACAATATCAGAAGCACTTCTCGCAGCATCTGTAGAATCTGCCACTGCTATTCCAATATCTGCTTTCTTCAAAGCAGGTGCATCATTCACACCATCTCCAGTCATTCCAACCACATGCTTCTTTTCTTGTAAAATTTTAACAATTTCATATTTGTGTTCTGGAAGTTGCATAGCAATCAGAAAAAAGAAATCAGATGTAAGAATTGTAAAAGAACCATCTTAACCTAAAAGCTTAAGCTTTTAGGTGAGGTTCTAGGATATGAATTATATTATTCTCTAACACACTCTCTTAAGTGAAAGCTTTTTAGACTTGAAACTTGCACAGACCTATATTATCTTGTGCTTAATTTTTATCAAATAAATAGAGATGATGAAATTCGAACTCGTTACCATTTGATTATCAAGACTCTGAAATAGAGATGATGAAATTCGAACTCGTTATCACTTGGTTATCAAGACTCTGATATCATATCAAAGAACCATCTTAACCCAAAAGTTTAAACTCTTAGGTGAGGTTCTAGAATATGAGTTATATTATTCTCTAACAAGAATTGTATCAAAGTTTACAAACATAAATACATACATAAAAGTAAAAGGTCAGATCAGCATTAACTTCTTTGAAATAATAATAATAAAAAAATGATGAGTTTAAATACCTGGAAATACACCAGCAAAGCCATCTGCCTTTTCAATGAGCTCGTCGACAGGAAGAGCTTCATTTTCATCCCTTTCCCGTCCTAACAATGTTGAAGAGGGGTACATGTTCGTTCCCATGCCAAGTCGTCTTCCTGTCTCCTTTGCAATTGCCAGTTGATCACCTTCATTAGCATATTTACAAATTAGTTTTCTTCAACATTTCTGCAAAAGCCACTCATTGGGGCATCAAGATGCAATGGTTGTCTAAATTGTGTGGACAGCCGTAATGAAGTATTGGTGATAAATTGTTACGCTTGATTGTAACTGAAAGAAATTAAACATACTGAAAATCTCATCCAATGTAATGACAACAGCCAGAGTTTTTTTTTTAATAGGATCATTTCAATACATCATGCTCCCTGTCTCTCAGAAGAAGAAAAATTCTGTTCAAGTTTTCACAGATATGAACATTCTTACCCAAACTAGCAACGTACTCATTGTATACAAGCTCTTAAATATCACAAGAAATTTGCATGTACCTGTAATCATCTTGACATTAACTCCAAGGTTTAGTGCTCTGCGGATGGTCTCAGCACTATCATGCCTAGGAGGATCAAACAAGGGCAACAACCCACAAAACGTCCAAGGACCTCCAGGACTTTCCCTAGTTTTTTCAGGAACTTCCTGCATCAGAAAGGTGCGTTCTTGGGTACGTTTATTATGAATGACAATTCAAGGGCATCCCAAAGTGTAATTTGCTAGAAATACTTCTTTCTCAATGAGACAAATCATTTTCATGAAATTATATATCATTCTCAATGAGACAAATCATTTTCATGAAATTATATATCATTATCTTTATCATAGAACAACCAATTTCTTTATATATATGGTATGTATAAGGTCAATACATACACCAAACATCAATGAGAAAAGAGAGAGATGCAATCTGTGTACCTGAAATGCAACTCCAAGTGATCGCAGGCCCCTTTCGGCAAATTTTTCAATGATGGTATGCACTTTCCCAGAGATCTCGTCCTTCTCTTTGCTCATATTTAGAATCTGAAATTATAGAAAAACGAAACAGTTTCATGCTCTGCTACAAAATACGTGAAAGCTAAATTAGTTTTTATACATGAACTAAGAAATGATTTTTTATCAATAAAAAACTAATTTTCCATATCAACTTATACTTAGAGGCCTGTTAGTTTAATCATAAAGTCAAAAGGCAACCAGATTTTCTCGCAACTCAGAACGCAATTATGAAATTTGTGAAGGGTGAGTATAGAGAGAGCTGAAAGTTGATATTCAATAAGGAGAGCGATAAATGCATTTTTTTAAAATGTTATAGAAGGCGTCACAACTATCTTTTGTAGACAACAGGCATTGAAGAATATCAAATTGGAAATGGATATTATCGATCATTGCAAACTCAAACTTGATTAAGTTTAGCAGTTAAGAAATCTTATAGCAATTTTGAAATTGAACATATTGAAGGCGATACCTGCTCAGGAGCTCCTTTGCTAGCTCGATACCAATTACCATCAGAATCAATGTATGTAATTGCAGTACGTTTGTCCACCGGATTGAAGGGTAAGAAATGCACTTCTCTGATGTTTTCACGTGCCTGCAGACAGAAAGGTAAAATCATTCTTTTTCACACACACACATGTATATAGTCAAACAGAAGAATCCTGAGCTAATAGATATCCAGTCTCTACCTCCTTTGGATCAGCAAGCATGTTAACTATGGCTGCATCAATAGCATCCTGATTCTCCAATCTGGATGCTCTGGCTGCAAGCAAGACAATCATATCTTTGTCCATATCTTTGTTGAAAACCTGCAGAAGATAAAAGTCCTATTGTTAGGTTTGTCTAGATAAATGAAGCTTTAGAAACTTTATAAAAGCCTAATTGTGTTCAATATTTGAGACTGATGAATCCAGTACAGAAGATGTATCACTTCAACAGGTGAGAATAATAGGAGCATTATATTCCTGCTTGATGTAAAGAAATAGATGTAGCTCCCTGGAAATAAAAATAAGCTTTCTGTACCTCGATAAGGTTTCGATCTACTGTCAGGCGATTGAGGGTAAGAGTTCCAGTTTTGTCACTGCAGAGGACATCCATTCCTGCCATTTCTTCTATCGCTGTCATCCTCTTTGTAATGGCACCCTAACCAAATGAAGGTGAAAACGAGTCATATGATGATGAAGTTCATCATTTGGGCTGGATATGAGTTTCTTACTGTCTGAATTACTCTATGATATCTTAAAGACATCTGAAATCATTTGAAAACGACTGAGCTATATAAGATCACTGTCATAATGTGTGTGTATACATACATATTTTTTTTTCTTTTAAGATTCGCACCTGTTGAGATAGCCGATGAGAACCAATTGCTAGTGTGACAGACAAGACTGTTGGCATAGCTATTGGTATTCCTCCGATTAAGAGAACAAGAAGGTTGTTGATTCCATCCCTGTATGAACGGTGCTGTACTGGGAACATGACAATGATTTCAAGAATCATTCCAACAGCTATAGAGCAAATGCAGAAGTTCCCAATGGCGGTAAGGACCTGCCACATACATTTTAACCATGTCATATTTAATGTCTCACGGTCTGCAATTTTAATTAATGCTGCTCAGAATTTATGAAAATTATATAATGATACTTCGGAGCTCTCAGAACTTGTCAACTTGCAATCACCTGGTCCTGGACTTATTTGACATGTTCCAATATAAGCTCCTTTCCTCATCATTTGACATATTTTCAAATATGCAACTGTTTCCAGTTGCAATTTCTATCCATGAAGTTAAAATAAATGCCAGAGAATTTAAGCAGAACTAGTTATTTTTGCACATGCCTTGCGTTGTTTTTATTTTTGAAGACAATAAAATTCAATGAAAACTTGTATATAACATAATATTCCGTTATATATATTTCAATATTTTTATACCATTTTCTTTTCACTCGAATATATCATCCTTACCTTCTGGAAATGTCCAACAACTTCAGTGGAGTCAACTAGATGTGCTGCTTTTCCAAAGAAACTGTTTACTCCTGTCGCAATAACCACAGCTTCAATTTCTCCTTGCTTACATGTTGAGCCAGAATAAACTTCATCTCCTGTTCTCTTGGTGACAGGAAGAGATTCTCCAGTAAGAGCTGACTGCACAAACAGATTCTTCCTATTATTCCATAAATCTTGTGCTCATGTTTATGTAACTGTAACATAAAATCACCTGAAAAAAGGTAAATTAGCTAAGAGATAATAAAAAGCTGTAAGAAGAACTTGCCTGGTCAATTTTTAATGAATCTCCTTCGAGTAATCTAGAATCCGCAGGGATGATATCCCCAAGCTTAATGCTAACTATATCTCCTGGCACCAAAATAGCAGCATCTTGCTCTTTCCACTGCCCATCTCTCAGGACCTGCATCAACATGTGGTGATTACTGATTAGAGCAACAATTCAGGCACTCGAAAGAAACCTGACAGATAGGCAAAATTGTTGACTAACATCAAAACCTCCATCAGCAAGATGGTTTTCACAACTGAATCCATGTTTTGAGGATTATGTCTGAACAAACTTAATGCAAGATAACGTTGATTTCATCATAATACCTAGAATTCTAAAAAAATAGCATGCGAAAGAAAACTAACTTAAGCAAAGATGTTGAGCACTCATTTCAAATACATTTGTATCCGTTATATTAAGCGGAAGGGCATGGCTCAAGGGATATATACCTTCGTTTTGGGAGCTAAACGAGCCATAAGAGCGGATGCAGCATTCCCAGCATTGTTCTCCTCTATAAAACTAATTGTTGAATTGATTATCAACAGGCAAATAATCCCTACAAAATCCTGCCAGTCAGGACCTTGCCCCTGAAATATCATTTCCGACAATGGAGTTATCAAGCGGAAAAACACCATCAGAATATGTTGCAAACAGAACCCAGAAAAAGAGCTGGAAAAGAAAACCATACGAAATTAATAATGGAATCAAAGTTGAACTACTCACTCCACCATTAGCAAGGACAATTGCCATTATTGCTGCCGCTTCCATAACCCATGACAGAGGATTCCACATAAAACTAAGGAATTTCAAGAACTTATTTTCCTGCGAAGGAGCAATTGAGATTCTATGAATTGAAGTTTACATTCGTTTCATCTGGAAATTTAAATCATCTTTCCAGTTAAGGTGATTTATGGTAAAAATTGAGTTTTCTAATTGCTTCAAAAAGTAATAGAAATGGAATTAGTGGTTACTGGCTTCTCTTCAAGTTTGTTTGGACCAAAAATCTTCAATCTGGCTTCAGCATCTTCGGACGAGAGTCCTCTGTGTGATGTTCTCAATTGCTCAAAGACCTCCTCTAGTGGCAAACGCTCCTGTCAAATAAACATTTTGAAATGTTTAGTACTAGGAATTGCGTATTCCAAAAAGTGGCATTTCTGCAGAACTTACCAAGTCAATCCCCTCTCGGTGGAAGCTCTCGGGATTCAACAGTGGTTTCTCCAGATCCTCAGCCATGATTCAGGCCTCACAACCTGGAAATTACAACAGATTTTTCACATAATCATCAACATGGAGTTTCTGTAACCTAAAGCATCATAAATGGTGCTATATCACAGCCATGGATACTACTTGCCTACTCCATTGAAATATATCACAGCCATGGATACTACTTGCCTGCTCCATTGAAATATATAACTTGACCATTTTAGTTGCATGAAAACACACATGTATGAATCTGCAGAATGACATGCTTGCAAGAGATTCGATTATAAACCCTATCTATGTACATTGATGTTGAATAGAATGTATCCAAATCGAAGCATACAATTCAGTCTCAGCTGAACAAGTCCAGTCAACAAGTCGGGCTCAACACTGAGATGTTTCAATGTTTTCCCCTTCAAGCATTTACACCTGGGCGAAGTTCTAAGAGCCACAAAAGCAAACAATCCGATCCTTGAAGTTGAAAGGATATTTCTTGATCTGTGATGTACTAATTACTTGGTATTTCAAAATCCGCAGAAACTATAAATAGCAATAGTCATAATATCAACACCAGTAGTACCATAGGTAATTGAAGTTAGGAACTAAATTATGCCCCTCTACTGTTCATGCACTAAACTATGCTTGTGCATTCACCACTGTAAAATTAAAATGGCCAGGCTCAACCACTGTGACTTGAATTGAACGTTAATCCAGCATCTCACATGAAAAGTTCACATTGCAAATCCAACAAAAAAGGAAGACACTGAAATCCCCCATAACTGAGAAGCAAAACCAACCTAGTTCAACACCCCATATTTAGCTGAGTAAACACACATATTCATCGATCAACTAACCTTTTGTCAAATCGGGTAAAGCTTGGAAGACTGAAGAAACACTAGTCGTGGAAGGATTGAGGAGGGTTCTGTTTCATGAGCGTAAAGAGAGTTGAGAAAGGGAGGAGTGAAGTATGAGATGTTTAAAAAGGAACGCAAATATCATTAGATAATCATGATTTGGAAGCTGACTGTTAGGTTGGGGATTCATGAAGAGCAGATGATCCTAATAATCCTACAATGTCTCCATCTGTGCTTAGCCATTAATTCCTTCAAGAACTAGAAGACGACTAAATTCTTAAGCTTGTTTGAAACAAGACTCTCTACCACCCTGTCAAGGAATAAGGAATGACCGTTGCCCAACTACCTTTCAAAACTTGCTCTTCTAACCTAACTGTCCCTTCCCATTTCCCTCCAAAACAGGCACTAACCTTTTATGGCGGTGGGGGTGATCAAAATGCGCAAGGAAAACATGGAACGTCGGAGGCTACCACATGCACCAAACTAGTTAAGTAGGCTGATTGGTTGGAGTTCCAAACCTTCATGGGATTTGATTATTTCTTTTATAATCATTGCATGTAAAGTAGTGTTAGGTAGAAATACTTTACTATTTCCAACTTCGACAATGATTTGGATCTATGCATATTAATCTCCAGCTCCTACAATTTGTTCCACACGTTCTCAATAATTCATGAAATTAGGGTTGGAATTGGGTTCGCAATATTTCCAAGAATTTTCTTTATATAGAAAAAAATAAAATAAATTTATATTAATCAAATCAAGAGAACTCATCCAACCCTTAATCCTAAGGTTCAAATATTATTTGTTTTTGTGGTTTAAATCATGTTACATGATTATTTGAATTTTATTTTTTGAAATTAATTTTTTTAATATTTTTTTTTATGGTTTTTAATATGCTGATATTATAAATAATTTAATTTTTTTAAATATTATTTTTTATATTTTTCTCAATAAAAAAAACATTAAAAATAATTGCTACTACTTTAGGACTTCCAGTTTGATTAATTTATGTATACTGTATGAGACTCCAAATTGTTGTCTGATGCCTATTTCCTGACATGGAATGTTGACCATCAGGTGCCAGTGTTCAGTACAGCTAATCTACCGCACCAACCAAAATAAGAGTGACGTGTAATCCGAAGAGATCCCTTTGACATGGAACCATCGATTTTCCCCAACAACCAAAATAGCTAATTCTTAGACACGAATGGGCCACTGCTGGGCTAAGAGCCTGACATTTCAATCGTTGTTGGGCCGGCCCGAATCGAGCCGCTTCAAATGTCTTAAATATGTTTTATACTTATAATAACTTTCACCTCAATGTGACAATTTAACCCCAATTTACCCGAACGATTCGAACGGGTAATTTCTTTGGGTTAATTACCTTCTTGATGGATAATAGATAAATTTAGATATCTTGATCCAAAAAATATAATTTGTATTATATGCTATTAGTCTAATATAATATACAGATACAGGTACACATATAATATTTATACATATTTCAAATATATATATATATATATATGTTTATTATGTTGAATAATAAATATTAACCGGGTAATGAATACCTAATATATATTTGAAATCCAATAGATAATATTTAAATTTCATCTAATAAATAATAAATAAGATATAAATATACTAAAAATGAATGCTTCTTGTCTTCCTGCTCTAACTAAAAGAAAGAAATATCAAATGGAGATTTGACAACATCAGAATTGCGTGGAAGATTTACTGGTTTTTATTTATCTACCATGAACGTTGGCAACTAATAGGATTTATTGTTTTTCATTTTAAAAAATCACTATTCTTTTGTTTTTTTCTCTCTTCTCTACTCAACATCTTTGCTTTTTTTTTTTTTTTTTTGTTCAT